TACTACTAGTGCTTTCCCGTTCTTGACTTCTATAGCCCCAATTCAGGTTATCTCAGAAAGGCTCAAGAAGAGAATCCATACTAGCCGTTTCACTTGTTGGCATAATTTTTTTTCAAAATCTCAGTCCAGATCCTTGCAACAACTTTTCCTGACACGTATAGAGAGATTATTGAATCTCTAACAGCCCTATCTACACATATTAGTATTAAAATAACGTTCTTTTTGCTGGCATTCTTCCCAGAGAAGGAAAGAGCTTATATTAGAAGGGGGTGAACATTCCTTCCAAGTCAGTCATCTCCTCTCCAGGGTAAGGACCGCATCACCTAGGCACTATAGGCATGAAAGTGGCAGTGCCTTTTCTATGTACATTCTATTAATACTGGTTTATTTCTTATAGTGCTATCTCCTCCCTGCTTCTGCACTACTGTAAAATGCAATTACATTTTTTTCTACAAAAACATGATATTTTCTTGGTTTTCTGTTTCTGATAAACTATTGTCTGCTTGCCTCGTTTCCTGTAGATGCTCCGAGTTTGGATCATCAGAATATAAACATAGGCAGTAAGATTACAAGGTTTTGAGGTGATACCAGCAGAACTCAATCCACATGAAAAATTGCAACTAGAAAGTTTTCTGTGTCTCCTCAGAAAGTTGAATAGTGAATAAAGAGGACACACAGCATCTTCCTGTTTATAGAAAGCCAGATTAGATACAGGCATGTGGAGATACCAGTTAGAGAAGGTTAATTTAGTGATTGTTTGAGCTCTTGTGCCACATTTGGGATACTATCCCAAGGCTATGGAATTGCTGGGATTTTACATGCAGCTTGTTATACATACCACCACTACATTAAGCAGAATATTTTAAAGGAAGAAAGGCAAGATTTAGAGACCATTAAAAACTGTTAACAGCACTCTCCAAGTCATGGACAAAAACGTGAGTGCTGTGTAACGTAAGTGAAAATAATTGGCTAGACTAACACTGAGTGATGACCACAGAACACGGATCTTTTAAGCGTCTGGAAACAAAACCAAGACTGTTACAGGTAGGCTGTACAAAGTGTATTTTGACTCTTACCAGCTGCTGCTGTTACCTACTATGTTAAAAACAACAGAAGTTTGACTTTAACTTGAGGTGCAGCTGAAGTTGAATTCTAGGCTGACACTAATACAAGTTGCTTATCTGAGCTACGACTGCATGATCTTCACACATTTAACCCACACACCAAGTTTTTTGAGAGCAGATCTCTTTCTGTGCTACATACATCTACTTTATGGCCTATCATCCTTAGAACTCCTGACTAATTCTAAGGACCTATGTGGTACTACAAAAAAATCACCATTTACAAGTCAAAACTCCAGACTGATAGCTAAGCATTGAAGAACGATTATTTTAACAACAGTCAGGAAACATGATTAAGCTCTGAACTCAGTGAACAACTTTCTGTAGGTCTTTCCTATCACATTTTAAAACCTTAAGATATTAGAAGTAATAATTAATTTCATCAGCTGGTGGTACTAAGTCATCAGGATCAATTTTCTGCTTTGTGCACCATTGTCTACCTCTAAGACTCAAAATCAAATCACAGCTGTATTACTCCACTACTGTCAATAGCACAAAATGAAGAGTTCAAGCTGCCACTTGTTCAGTGCAGCCTTCAAAACTTTCTCATCTCCTTCACCCTTGACCAAGGGTCCCACTGCTGCTTGGCTCGTGCAGCTGTTTCCCCCCACACCCCAGCCACAAGTACATCTGAACATCCCTGAGCACACACTTTCTTCCTACAGAATGATAGTGATGCTGAAGGCTAGCTGGTTCTCTAAAGCCAAACCACCAGAACGGATCACAACATCAAAGGCTGTGGCTTTGACCTCGGCATCTACAAAGACTTTCTATAAAGCCACGACAAGTAACTGAGTGTCAGACTTGCAAGTTTTCCATCTTTTTCGGAAATTTCCATGGCTCTACAAATTGAAGAGTTTGAAAACCACTGTTTAGAGCTATTGGGGTCATTACAACTCTTGCTACCCAGACTACATGCAAGTTCATTCTAGTGTTCTATTAAGGAGTCTCAAGCATACGCCCCTAGCATGAAGCAAGTATGCACACAGCTTGCCATAAGGGCTGTGAAATCAAGTTCTATGTAGCACAGACTTTATTTCCAAAGTTTTCCAAACTGCAGCAAAAACTCTGTTTCACTTCCAAGGCATTTGTGGCACCTGAGTACAGTCCCCTCCCATGGAAGCAAGTGGGAAGGGCTGCACAAGGATATAATCGTGTTCAATGCAGGACTTTACAGGATACATATTTCTCTGAACTGGTAAATATCTTGTCATTGCGAGACTATGTTTAAATGAAACAGTGCACAGATGAAAGCCTACAGAACCTTCTTCTTCCCTTCTTTATCCTCCTCAAAAGATCACAAGCCACAGGGAATATTTTTGCAGCTAAGTAACAGTAGACAGAAGCCTTCACAAGCAAAAAGCCTGGTTGCAGGCAGGCAGAGTATTATGAAAATACTGTAAAATGATTACACTATAAAAGTGTAATCCACTCCAAGTGTAAGCCATTATAAGTGCCCATGAAAGGGAAGACTACTGGAATCAGATAATGAACATAGCACAAGAAACAATGGCTCCAAAGTAGGTATAAAAGCAGTTAACTACTCTGCAAGTTCAAAATCCTTGTACCTAAAAGTCTTTAAAAAAAAAGACCACAACAAACCAAAACACCACAAACTAAGGAGTCATGTGAAGTTCTGCTTGAGACAAGTAACCCATAGCCTTATTTACAGGTACACAAGCACCACAGCTGCCAAGAGAACTGACCCACGTTATTGAGCACCAGTTTTATATTTCTTCATCCAAAGTTCAGCTAACAAGGGAACAAGTGGTTTGTTAAGGCAACAATTTATGCCCAGCCTGAGACATTTAAAGTGTGATTTCAGCAAGTGCTTTAGTCTTGCTAGAGTTGAGCCTACATTTTTTTGTAACCAGGAATTCAGGAATGAAGGGGGTTCAAGCTTCTGTTTTATACAAAGATTCTTCTTATCACAAAGGTAGAACTGAAATAACAGAAATAGAACTAGATGCTAGGACACTACTTCCATCTCTCCCTCAATTTCTCCTTTCATAAAATAAAGGCAGCTAGTTAGGTACCTTTGTTAAACTGATTCAATCTGACCCACATTTTTGCATAGATTAAGAACATGCTATTTGGCCTGTCGAAACTCACTTTAAGAAAAAACACTTAACTTTTGAACAACTAAAGGCAGTTCAAGTAGTTTTTATAACAAATTCTGCAAAATAACAAATATTTATAAATATCTTACATTTGTTTATATTATGATAAAACTGCCAACCTCACCCCAATCTGCCTAAAATACATTTAGTTCTGAACAAAACTGAAGCCTTCTAAGGATTACCCTGCTTAAGAATTTTTAAAAGGCAATTACTTATGTTTTTCTCGCCTTATTCAGTTTTATTCTGTCAAGACAGCCATATTCTTCATCTGCCAAAGACATTAGGATGGACAAAGGATGGACAGTGTCCATCTCAACACCCTTCTCAATCTACAGCTTACCAGAGTCTGTGCAGAAACTCAGTCTCACAGCAATCCTCCTATCAATGCACTTCCACAACTGCTGGGTAAGTGATCCAGGCCTGCAATGGCAGGTTATCTACACGAGCTTGTAGTGAATGCAGCACAATAAGTACTCAAGGGAGTCAGAAGTATTCTCTCTTCCCAAACCAAGCCTGCAGCTTTCATTTCACATCTCATTAAAAAGTTCCTAATTCATTGCAGCAGCAAGCAGGATATCCGCAATGCAGTCAGCTGTGGGCAGTGCAACTCATGCATCACTAAACCTTCCCCTGTCCCCCACAAGGCAAAGGCAACAGGGTGCAAGGGCCATTCCTCACCTTCCCAGAAGCTGGAAGCAAAGTGCTTTGGAGCTCAATTATCCCCTATGCTCCCCCCACTTCATTTCCTGAGAAGTAACATGAAGAATGTGTCTCCAGAGAACCTTGTATAATTTTTAATTATTAATAGTGTGCAAGAACAGGGAAACTAGAGGAGACAAGGACAGAAAGTACCTGCCAGGAATCTCTCTACTCTCACTTAGTCCTACATGTGCACAGTTACAGTCTTGCTCCACACCAAGGGGTTTTACATGAAGTGTTACTCAGTAAAGGCTGGGTAAAGATTGCATAGCTAAGAACAGAAAGAGGTGTTTTAAGGAGACAAATACACTATCTAAGGTTCGGATAACAGCAACTGCAAAACAGGAACGTGAGAAATATCCAGACTACAGAATGAAGGACACAAGATAGCTGAAGAAACACACCCATATGCAACAGCTGGAAGTAGACTGATAACACTTACAAGACATCCAAGTTTTAGGGAGGAACATTAGCTGTCTTACTAATGTGTGTGTTTTTCCAAGTACTTCGCTCACTAACACAAGATGTCACAGGTACAGAGGTTGTACTCGTTTCAAATACGGAAAAGTAGAGGGGCTAATAAAACATACTGCCATTATTTTGAACAGAAGCCTGAGTAAAGTGACACTTACTAAGCTCACTTTGCCTTTTTGAGCAGAGTAGTCCCAAAGCTTGGGTTCTACTGTTTACAGAACACAAAAGCCTAGCAAAACAGATGGGGAAAATAATATTCCAGAAACCCACTCAAACTCCTCCCACAAGATAGTAACAGAAAAACCCAACCATTAACACCATTTGAGCCAAAATTGCAGAGAGGACAGTGTAGGTTATAGCTCTGTTGTATGATTTCTTTGTAGAAGTTGTTATGCATTGAAGTAGAATCCACCTAACCTAGCCATGGCCTTGCATGTGTGTCATCCAACATGGTTTTAGACGAGATACATCAACACATACTGAAGAGGCAGCTCTCATTTTCACATATAAATGCTGAAGCAGCAAGATTAAAATAATAAACTATTTTAAAAGTAAACATGAACAAACATACTAAAATGAATTTTTTTTTGGTAGTTGAAATCAGTTTTATTTGTGAGGAACGTCACCCATGCTGCACAGTTTCAAACAGATCTTACCAAGGAAAGCGGAAGTTTCTCCTCCCCCTGTCCTGCAGTGACCAGGACTGGCACAGAAAAAAAAAATTCATCACACCTGGGAGGTTTAGCACCAGCATCCAATAAAAAAAGCATTTGATTTCAATTTCAGTTCTTTGGTTGGGTTTTTTCCCTTTTCAGTTTGATACCAAAAGAAAAATTGAAAAATGCAATACTAGCGAAACAGTGAAATTCTAAAAAAAAACCAAAAAACCCCACAGTTGCTGTTGAAACTGGGGAGGTTGCTCTTTCTGAATCTCGCTCTCTTTTTCTCTCTTCACGCATCTATCTTGCAGGCGTTCCCTGGATCTCAGCTGCTGGTAAGTTTTTTTTTCTTTTAAGTTCCGATGTCTCATATCTTTGCTTTCATCGTTACTGTTGACAATTTATTGCTTGTGTTTCTTTGGTGTTACTTTGAGTTGTATTTTAGGACACCTGTTAAAGAGCCAAATTTAAAAAAAAATGCAGTTCTAAGTTTCATCTTCCTGTTGAAGAGGTGACATGTCAGGTGAAGAGGGAGTTATCATAACAGGATAAGCATAACTGGCTTATCCTGTCTGTAAGCTGAGAGCACATTATCTTCCTAAAGCAAAACATTACTAACTCATCAGGAGATGCTATTACTATGTAGACAAATACGGACACAGAGGAGAGAAAGAGAAAAGCAGCAGACTGGTTTTGGTTTGCCTATATAGCACTCTCAGAAGTTATCACAAATATCTAGCCGTACATAAGGGGATGTGGCCAGGGTGCAAGTCCTGGAAGTATATACAATGCTGCTTCAGTTGGGGAACGGGATGTATATTCCTTACCTGAGGGATGGTAGTGGTGCCTGGGGAGCCGGACATTACTCAGCACCACTCTGCTCAGTCACTGGAGCAGGATTTTCAGCAGGTGTTTCAGTCACCTTTGTCTGAGACACAGAAAACCATCATTATAGGCACAGACTGCCCTCTAGACCCTTCCTCTGTACAGTGGTAGGGCCAGCATAACCCAGGTTTTAAAATAATTAAAGAAAACAAATCCTCAGAAAATATTAACTATAGAAAATACAGAAAAGTTTAAGTATTACACAGAAGATTCTGTCAGGGGACCACCGCAAGTAGATATAGAATGAGAAAGTATTTCCTCATTAAGGTAAAAAAAATAAAAAAAATATGCGTTTTCAAACATTTCCCTGAAATCATCTGGTTCAAGCAGTTCAGGAAACTGATTTGGAGATTTCAAATCCATCTCTCAGACTACATACAGACTGAAGGTTTTAGGAAACTGGAAAACAACACTTGTGGAACCTCCCACAAGACAGAAGGTCTTGAGCATTCACCCCATCAAAACTCAGTCTCTGCCATGTTTTGCCAAGAGCTTGCTCACCTCTTTCCCATCCTGAGCTGGAGCACTGGGTGGACGAGGTCGACGCCGGTAGTTGTACGGGCGCCTATACCCACGGCGAAGTGGCTGCTCTCTCATAGCATTAGCCTCATGATGGTTCTCTTTGTTTTCAGCCTCTCCAGCCACTGGGGCAGGGCGTGGACGTGGGGGCCCTCTGAAGAGGAGAAAAAAAAATAGGCGTTAAGCAGGAGAGAAGCCCAAGAAGGTTAAACTACCAAAATCTTAGCCCAGTAAAAGCCTCTCTAACCAAGCACCATCTTTAACAATTTTGAATGCTAGCAAATTATCCCTTTGGAGTTCGGCTGGCATATAGTTGGAAGGGAAAGAAACAACCTGCGTGTCTCTTCATTGCTGAAGCTACATCAGCATATTCTTTATTGTAGGCCAGACAGTAGATATCGTTAGCATTTGAATTGCTGGCTACGAGAAGAAACAAGCCAGTAGTGGCCACATAGGCCAATTCTGCTAAGTTAGCCTTGGCATACTTACACACCAGCCCAGTCCTATTCATAGTTAATGGTGCAATCCCTGGAAATCTCAATTCTACCTGTAAACCAACTCCTGAATCTTCACTCTTTGCCTTAAGCTGCCCCTCTTGACCGTAAGTGTAGCGTGTATTTCAGTCAGGCAAGTTGGACCTTATTAGCACTAAGCTATTAAGTCCACATTCCTGAAGTATTCAAAACCCGCCTGGATGCATTCCTGTGTGACCTACTCTGGGTGGTCCTGCTCTGGCAGGGGGGGTTGAACTAGATGATCTTTTGAGGTCCCTTCCACCCTCTAACATTCTGTGATTGTGAAGTATGCAAAAGCGTTTCATTCAATTTCCAGTATAATCAAAGTATGTTTACAAGCTGTCAAAATACAGCCGAAAGTGATGACAGTCACTGCCTACTATCTAGTTCCCATTAGCTGGCTTAGCTAATCCACAGCTATCTAGTCCTAAAAGCCTATTTAGATTTTCTGAAGTAATCTAACATAAAAGCACTACTGGATTTAGAGCATGTAAATGTAAGCAATACCTACCTGTCAACTCAAACAGAAGCATTCTGCATTCTTACAGGAGATATCATACCTCTTATAGGAAAAACGCATCAGAAATGCACTCCCATTAGCCATGGACAAATTATCCAGCTTGTGATTCACCCATGTGACACGCAAAAGCTCAGGTGCCTCACTGTACTTGGTGTGGTGCTATTTCTGACTGCCCAATGCTAATGAAGACTTTCAGGATAAAATTTATTCAGCTCAGATCCCTACAAGCAGCAGCATCAGTATTACCCCATTTCTCACAATCCTAGACAAGTCAACTTTAACAAACATTCACAGATAGAAAAAGCCCGGAGTAGGGAAGGCTTGTGGTTCTAGACCAAGCATCCAGAAGGATGGATTCATTTTGCATGGAACAGGTAATCATTGCAGTTAAGGACAATCTTGTTATTCCTAGGAAATTCAACTTCTTGTTACTCTTGCACTGTTATTTACCTCTTGCTCTTTGTTTTTGAACAAACATGTATATTAAAAAAATGGGGATTACATCCATTTCATCTCTCTAAATTCAATGTTGGAACTTTACCTCTTAAGATAGTTGATAGAAAGACAAGGACAAGATGAAGAGGACCAAGTGAGTGAATGGCAGACTAATACAAATCAGCTCCTTGAGAGCAGAATCACAGAATAGTTTGGGTTGGAAGGGATCTTTAAAAGTCATCTAGTCCAACTCCCCTGCAGTGACCAGGGACATCTTTAGCTAGATCAGGTTGCTCAGAGCCCTGTCCAGCCTGACCTTGAATGTTTCCAGGGATGGGGCATCTACCACCCCTCTGGGCAACCTGTTCCAGTGTTTCACCACCCTCACTGTAAAGAATGAACTCCTTATATCCAGTCTAAATCTACCGTATTTTAGTTTAAAACCATCACTCCTTGTCCTATCACAATAGGCCTGGCTAAAAAGATTTTCCCCACCTTTCTTATAGGCCCCCTTTAAGTACTGGAAGGCCCCTATAAGGCCTCCCCAGAGCCTTCTCTGCTCCAGGCTGAACAACCCCAACCCTCTCAGCCTGTCCTCACAGGGGAGGTGCTCCAACCCCAAATCATCTTCATGGCCCTCCTCTGGACCCACAGAAGCAGGTCCATGTCTTTATTGTGCTGAGGACTCCAGAGCTAGCCATAGCACTCCAGATGGGGTCTCACCAGGGCAGAGTAGAAGGACAATCACCTCCCTTGACCTGCTGGCGACACTTCTTTTGATGCGGCCCAGCATGTGACTGGCTTTCTGGGCTGCAAATGCACATCACTAGATCATATTCAGTTTCTCATCCACCAGTACCCCCAAGTCCTTCTTGGCAGGGCTGCCCTCAATCCCTTCATGTCCCAGCCCGTATTGATAGCAGGGATTGCCCTGGCCCAGATGCAGGACCTTGCACTTGGCCTTGTTGAACCTCATGAGGTTCACACAGGTCCACTTCTCCAGCTTCTCCAGGTCCCTCTGGATGGCCTTCTGTCCCTCAGGAATGTCAACTGCACCATCTAGCTTGGTGTCATCCGCAAACTTCCTGAGGGTGCACTCAACCCCACCCTGTGTCATTGATGAAGGTATTAAACAGCACTGGTCCCAATACGGACAGACCCCTCAGGGACACCACTCATCACTGATGTCCATCTGGACATTAAGCCATTGACCACTACCCTCTGGATGAGACCATCCAGCCAATTCCTCATCCACCAAACAGTCCACCCATCACATCCCTCTCTCTCCAATTTAGAGAAGGATGTTGTGGGAGATTGTGTCACAATACTTTATTAAGAAAACCAGTGAAAGCAATTCAATGTTTTATTTAACTTGTTTTATCTTGGAGAATAAGTGACAAGTCACACAAAGCCAAGAATCTGAATGAGCTTTTCCACTTGAAGGAATTTAAAAAAAAAAAAAGAAGAGTGAGGCAACACCTCCAAAGGTATGACAGTCAGAGGCTGACTATTTCACACTGATATTTTTATCTGCAATGAATTCCTCAGCTATGGAATTGTTTCCTCAGCATAGAGGCTGGAAGCTAGAGTGGTCATGTCAGAACCAAGGCTGGAAAATGAAGAAAACAATCATATGCTGGTCAGCTTAAAGTATGACTAACCCAGATGACTCAGCAACTTTGCATATCCCAGTGGAAAGAATCAGTGTTCATGTGAACACCAAGGGATCTTTAGTAAGTACCTAAGAATGGCCTACTGGGTCTTCAAGTGTCTATTTATCCCAGTTCTACAGATCCCTAGGGAAAAATAAGGACAAGGTAATACTTTCCAAATAGCCTCCCAGACTCCAATTGGTTTCCATACTGGGGATTTCCTGAGCCAGACACAGCTTGCCTAGAGATATCACAAATATCCAGTTATTTGACCTCTCCCCCAAGCTCATGCAAGCTTTTAACATCACCAACATCCCGTGGCAAAAAGCTCCGTCAATCTGCCATATGCATAACAACCCGAGTCAGCAACCTGAACATGAGTCAGCAGTGCACCACTGCAGCAAAAGGCAAACGGATCCTGGGCTGCATCCACAGAGGCATTAGCAGCAGAGAGAGATGTGATCATCCCACTCTACTCAGCACTTGTCAGGCCACACCTGGAGTACTATAGCCCGTTCTGGTCCCCACAATTCATGAAGGAGGCAGACAAACTGGATACGGTCCAAAGGAGGGCCAAGATGATCAAAGGGCTGGAGAAACTGACCTATGAGGATAGACTGAGGGAGTTTGGTCTTTTCTCCCTGGAAAAAGAGAAGGCTTCAGGAGGAACTTGGCAACTTAAAGGCCAACTCCTACTATTCTGTGATTCTGTGAATTACAAACAGGACAGAGGCTTTCTCTTCACAAGGAGCCACACAAGGGATACAAGGGGCAACAGGTACAAGCTGCACAATGTTTCAGATAGATTTAAGAAAGATTTACAGTGAGAACAATCTTACTGGAACAACTTCCACAGGAATGTGGTAGAGTCCCCATTACTGAAGGTTTTCAAGATGGGACTGGACAGGGTTGTAGATAATCTCATCTAGGCTCCCCTTCCCAGAAAAGGTTCAGCCAAAGATGTTTGGGTGGTGGTTTTTTTTTTGAGGTCCCTTCCAACCTGGGCTGTCCTATGGTTCTATGAACCTCCCTTTGTTTTTCAGCATGTCTCCCACTTCCTTCATTTGGAGGCTCTTCATAGTGTATTCTTTTATCAGAAAAAAAAAAAAAGCAAAACCAATTTAATCCATCCCTTCCATGCTACTCATTATTCTGAGGACCTCTACAGTCTATCTTAATTTGTCTTTTCTCCCAGCCTCAGAGTCCTCAGTCACTTCCACTGTTCACACATTTTTTTCCCCCCTTCAATCATTTTGATGCATTTTATCTTATTATTCTGGAAGATCTCCGGTCTCTTTAGCACCCTCTTTCTCCATAAGTTCTAGCAAGAGTAACTCTAATAATCCTATTTTGTTACACACTCCTTTAGACGCCCTCAAGGAACACAAAATTTAAATCTTGACTGACAGCAATACCCTTCACTAGCATAGGATATTACAAGGTAACAATAATGCTACCGTATAATCTAACGGCCTGTAAGAGATATGACAAAACTTCAGTTTTTACTGAACAGTCGGCTTTCCTCTGTACCTACAAGTAGCACAAGCGCATAAATCCAAGCCTCTGTGACATGTAGGACTGAGCTGGATGTGCACAGGCTACTAGACCAGTGTTGAACTGCAAACTACTGTCTGCAGTCCACAAAAAGAGTTATAAAGCACACCCTGCCCCTGCAGATGGTGAGCCTAGTCATCCCAGATCAAGTGGCATTTGGATCCATTATTTGTCCAGGAAAGCACAGGAGTTCATCTAGGAAGACAAGGACCCTGCAACTCACTTCAATATGTTGCTCAATTGTGAGAAGTAACAGCATACAAAGAATTCTTTGCCCTTTCTTGACCAGTTCCTGGCTCTGAGCAATATATAAACATATTAAACTCGACAGTTGTTTCCTTAGTCCTTTCTCACTGTCCCTACCATTTGCATACACATTAATGCTAGGGAATACAGCTTCATGCTCTTAATGAAGCCTGTATAGATTATAAAAGCATAAAAATGTAATGAGCAAAGGAAGTATTACAGACCTGCGATAGCGGGGACGATATGTAGGATTCCTATTGACTTGTTGATGAAGCTGTCCTCCTTCTGTGAGCCCATCCTTGATCTCGCCCTCACCACCCTACAACCAAAAGACGACAGAAGACAGATGAAGTGTTATTTCACAGACAGTATACTAACTATAAAGCCCAACAATCTGAACACAAGTTCAGAAACAGTATATCAGTACAGAAACACAAGCATATCAGGTAACAAGAAGCAGATTCTCAAAAGACTAATTTGGGCAAAGATAGGAGTAGGACTGAACAAGAGCCAATAATTCTGCCCCTGTTTCTCACATTAACAGACTAAGGAGCTACCTGACAATGCTTCCTCGCTGCCTGCCAAGAAAGGCAGGGAACCTAACAGTTCTTTCCAATGCAATATGAAAGTGCATTTCAAGATATGACATGGCATTGTAAGGGTTAAATATGTTACAGAGAGGCAGCTGTTGATTAGGACACTTCTGAATTAGGAAAGCTAACTGAAAGACATCACGCTGACTTGTCAGAGACCACCTCTGGCTTCATTCTACACAGAGGCCCATTCCATAGAGAACTCCCACAAAAACATCAAGACAGAAAAACCTGTACTACACACTCAACATTTTCAGCCTGTCAGACACAGTGGTTCTCTCTCCCTTTTAGTTGTTGACTGATAAAGCTGATTTCAGTTTAGTGGTTTTTTCCTCCACTTTGTTGTTTGGTTTTTTTTTGGTTTTGTTTTTTAAATGCCAGCCATGAGCAATATCTGTTTTATAAAAGTTACAGTATTAGCTGCTCCCATTACACTATTCTTCCTTTTAAAAGAAGGAATTTAACAAGAGATGGACTTCTGTTTCTAGATCTGGATCTGATCCAGCAGGAAACAAAAGCTATTGCTTCCTGACAGCCTGCAGTAGTCTACACTAAGTTTGACAGGTCTCCTTCCAATTCCACACAGCTATTTTAACCATGACCACCACCACATTTTGCTTTATTTTAATGGGCAATCTCAGGTAACTGCATGGACATGAACTTTCCTTAGCTGAGATAATGTGATGATTGGCATTTAGAAAGGCTGGAGTATTGTAGATTGTAACAAGAAATCTTGGGGAATTAAACAAGCCTCAGTGACCAACCTGGACAATCTTCTCCTCTCACCACAGTAAAACACCCTCCAAATGCATGAATAAATTTCAAGCACTCTTTTGGAAACTTGGAAAGCTACAAAAGCAGAGACATACCTAAAAGCAACTGGAATATCTCACATGCTGTACCTAGAAATACTATGCCAGCTATTCTTAACCATATGACAGGGTAACTGCTGAGGTGAGCAGGGAGAAATCAGAATTCAATAAAAAACCCCACAATCATAAATAACATTATCCATTATGTTCTCTCATGTATAAAACTGATCAGGATAACTAAATATCAAAAGGAAATCCCACTGATTAAGCAAAGAGTAATACTAGGTATCATCTGGTAGCAGTTGAGAAGTACTTAAGAGATTCAGAACCCAAAAGGAAAATTACACTTCTGAATTTGTGACAGCATTATACTACTTATATCCACTTTGCAGTACCAATCCATCCTGCTTGTATCAAGATATTTAGTACTACGCAACTTCACAGTATAACAGACCCGTGATGAGTGGTCAGAAGTGTCTCAGGCAGTAAGTCGAGAAATAGCACCGCCAATATCGTGTGTGGCAGCAGTGATTCAAAGGTCTTGGGATTTGCCTTTCATGAAGCAAGGACCTAATGCTGCTTCTGCTCTCACTCTCTTACTCATGTGAGGACTGACAAAGCAGAGATACAGTAGAAGAGAGTAGCAAGATGTGAAGGGAAGGGACAATCTCAAGGTTCTCTTCACTCTTGAGGAATCCACACAATGTGTTCAAAACCAGACTCAGTAAGTCACACAGAGTACAGGCACATTCAAGCTACCATGGCAAACAAGGGATAGCATCCTGTTTGCCTAAAACCATGCCAGTGAAGAAAAACAAATCAAGTCTTGCTGTGCTACAAGGTTAGACTGGAGTCACTAAGGAACATTAATTAAAAGTTCTTTAAAATCTAGAAGGCCACCATGTCAAGAGTCACCTAAACAATTTTTTTTTTTATTCAGTAAATACAGGATTGATGATAGGGGCAGCCAAGCTCTGGGAAAACCTTTCATCTCTGCAGCCTAGCAGATCTTTAAGCATAGCAGGCCTAGGTACACTGGAACAGTTTCCTTCAGGTGTGCAGCAACAGTTGCTTGCAGCTGAGTAAATATCATTTCAGCAAACACAGCCCAAGAGTGCCATACCATCAGCAGCTCAAACTGGTCTCAGGAATATCCTGCAGGACCACCAAAAACACTTCCTCAAGCAGCGAGGCACAACCTTTAATGCACCTGTTAATGGGACCATACAGAATAGAGTATACACACTGCTACAGCTCAAACATTGCTACCTTTCTTCCCGCTTTATGCACATGGGAATGGAATAAGAAAGAGGAGGCCTTGTTAAAGGAAAACGATATTAGAGAGAAGTATCTTTCTAGACGCAGTAGACATGCAGTTTCAAGAACATGTTAACTGCTGCAAGTGAAAAATCTCCCAAAGGAGTTTTTGGTATTTGGTAGCTTCAGATGAGGATTCACTCTACTCTCAATTATCTATGAAAGCAGGCACACAGGGGGTGACAAGAATATCTGGGCAAGTTCAAGTGGTTTCACTGACCTATACTAGGACTTCACGGACAGTCCCTGCACAGCCCTTTGTGGCCTCTGCAAAGACTTCCTTGAAGTGGAGCTTGGACTTGTTCAGGCAACTAATAAATGAGTGGGTAAGAAGGCCCAGCAGAATTGGTTACACCTCAAACTAGCTCGGAACACAAGAAGAGTCCACTGCAACATGCAGGAAGTTGAGCAAGCATAGCAGATTGTTAACTTTGGCTACCCAAGGAACTCCTGACTGACCTCAAAACAAAAGTAGGACTTAAACAAGTCTTACGCATATAAGTCTCTGCGACCACACAGGATACATTTGATACTGATGAAGGAGCTGGCCAGTGTCGCTGCCTAGCCAGTATCATCTTTGAAAGGTCACAGCAATCACGGAGTTTATCTTGTTACCTGTTAAGAGTGGCATACCAAGGGAATGGTACTATAAGGCCTTCATCATCCTTGAATGAAACAGAATTTACTCTTAACAGATGATACAAAACCCAGAGGAGCAGTCAATGCATTATAGGTAAGGCCTGACATTCAGAGGATACTCAACAAGCTAAAGAGAAGGGCCAACAACCCTCATGAACAGTGGGAAACAATAACACCCCTAGGTTAATGTCCTTTTGTAGATTATCATTTGCAATTTTTGAAGGCTGTAATTCTTCCCAAGTCAATGATTGCAGAGAAAGAGCAGGATGTTTTATGTTATGAAAAACAGATCACTTCATAGGGCATCAGGCACCAGTCACACAACAGCTAAGGTCTGGTACCCACACCAAATCAGTCTGGGGATTCAGATCCCCAGCAAGTCATAAGAAGTGTGATATCACAATTTGCTCCCCTTATGTACATCTTCAAGTACCCAGATCGAAGTGCTACATTTTTTAGCTGCATGAGTTTGCATCAGACATTCAAGAGAACACGTCTCAGCCCGAGTACCCTGAGACTGAATGTTCCCCATGTCCAAGTTGGGTCTCACATCACTATTGAGGCAGAAACAAACAGCTGCTTTCTATACTCAGCAACAATACACAAGGTTGTCCAAGCCTTGATATGTCTACTCATTTGAAAACTGAAGCAGCTCCAAAACAACATTAATACCACCAACTAAAGCATTCACTCCCAATAAAGACAGTTAAGGAAGATCTTAATCTCAGGAGAGCAAAAGGAAACAGAATCAGTACTGGAATGTATCTGGTTGATGAACTAACAGATGACTGGAAGGACCAAAAAGCTGAACAAAACCAAGTATCCTAGTCCTTTGCCATCTGATGTGAAAGCTGCAGACTGTATCACCACAAAAAACAAAGACATACTCAGTAACAAGCCGTCAGTTACCTGCACCAACTCCTAGCCATCTCCAAGGGACTCAAAGAACACTTTTCATGTATTTAAGGCTCAGTGGCATCCAGCAGGATTAAAGACCTCCTGATAGCTAGTATAAACAGCTAGGCTTCAAGGAAGGATTTGACAACACTTGTTCTGTTTGTCCCCATGCTGTCAACTCTGCAGAATAAGAAAGTGTTGCTTGGGCAGAGACTTCCACCAGACCTCCCATATTGAATTGTTCACGCATTTCCACAAGTGATGATCACAGACTCAACTACTAAAGGTAAGATTACCAAGCCCAGAGTATATTCCAGTTTGTTGGACTGTTCCAACCACAAATTTAGCACAAGCACTATGTGGATAAGAGTAGTAACTACTAGAACTACAGCAGTGTACCTCATACTTACTTTTCCCTCTACAAAAGCTTGCAGGGAAGCTGCTTAGGAAGGCTTGCAGATGTTATGAACAGTGGTGTGTAGAGGGATGATACATGGAGGTTTCAACTAGTTGGTCAAACTACTACCATGACTGGCAGAACTGATGAGCTTCTGAACAAATCCAGCTTTCCAAGTAACCCTTCCAAGTTACAGTTATACTACTTCAAGTAATATAAATACTTTCTCTTGCTTCAGGTAAAGGGCACAGTGAATCACTTAAGTGTCTCACTCCTTTGTGTTTACTCTTCAAACAAACAGATACCTTAACACCCAAAAAGACACTTGTAACACATTCTAGAAAGACATGCCAAGAAAGGGCCTACAGGACACCCAAGAATACAAAATATCAGCATTGACACCAATGATGTGCTTGAGGAACCCAGAATATTACTGAAAAACACTCACAGCTTAGTTAAGTATTGACACTTTACTATATGCCAGCGCTGAACCTGTAGTTCCCTCATGAGGGGACCAGAAGACTGCTGAGGAGGTAAGATGAGCACCACTAAAGAAATTAAACTTACTTACGCTTCGAGGCGGTCCACGGCGTCGGCCAAAATAGCCACGTCGATAGCGGCGCCGGTCTGCAGCATAGCGGCTGCCTTCTACAGGGACTCCATCTGGACCAGTGACATTAGCTGCTTCTGCACCCTAAAAGGCCAAAAGAAAGTAAACCAGAGTGGTGTGAGAAAAGAACAACCAGCTACATGGAGAAGATGATACTGGAAAGAGGGTTTTTTGCATCAGTTCCAAGCTACAGATTCCATCCTCCCATGTAAGCAGATTTGTTATTCTCAACCCCATAACCAAGAGTTATGATTCTACCAATCAGGCTGAGTTCAGAGGAAAAAGCAAGAAGGAACTGATTAAAGACACACACATACAAAAAAAACAAACTAGAAAACTCAAAAAAATGTTCGAGACAGCAGAAGTGCAAAGAACTCGAAGGTTCTTAAGTTACTAAGCTACCAGACTCCAAGTTCTTCAGGGCAATATATGCCTCAGTTAATGATCACTGGACAGGCTACAGGCTTCAAATGCTCTATCAAGTAAAAATTACGTATTCTAGAAGCACTAGGATGTAGAGTTGAGTTTTGACACATATCTAATAATATTTCTTAATGAAGTCTTTAAAAAAACACATCTTCCACAGAAAAGGTGTATGAATGCCACCCAGGGATTAACACAGACAAAAACACCAGACACACAGCCAAGGTTCTGCGTTACTCCCCACCAGAGTGATGTTAACTCTGCTGGACGACACCCAAGCCTCCATAATTTCTCACCTTCTCTCCCTCGACTACATCAAATTCCACAGTCTCTCCATCACCAACACTGCGCAGGTATTTCCGTGGGTTGTTTTTCTTTATTGCTGTCTTCAAAGAAAGAAGATACAGAAGAACATATTATTTTATCTTACTTATTATCTTACACATTCAAAGACCTGTAGATGAGAGAAGCACAGTATTCTTCCACTACAATCTGAACTCTACACACCAGATCAGTAACGACACCAAGATATTTCAAATACATAGATGTCTCTCTGATTCCACAGGCTTTCCAACACTCAGTCAAGTTTTACTCCTTTTAGGAATCAGCTGTTACCCCGGCATCAATCCCCTCTGCCAAGCCTACTAAATATTCAGATCATTACGTATTTCTGTATGAACAAAGTTGACGGAGTGTGCGATCTCCTGCAAGCTGTACCAAGGCAGCTGCAGCAGCAACTGTAACCCATCCCTTCACAGTCATTAGGAGACCTGTAAACCATCTACAGAGAACTTAAGACCATAAGTGTTTTTGTAGAAGATGGCATTAGCTATCAAGACTACTCATAGTAACTAGAGAAGAATTACTGTAACTCTGGTGTATAAGCATTTTACCTAAGCACTGTTAAGAGAGAGTCCCAAAAATTAGGCGAGTGCCTAAAGAACACAGGAACAGTACCAGAACAGACAATTGCAGTCTTAGTCATCTCCCAAAATACTATTAACAACACTGCTTTGGATCTAAACTGGTCAAAGACTTCTTCAGACTCACAGGAACACTCAAACCTCCTGGAGTGACTTTCAGCCTGACATCTACAGATACATTTCACTCCATGGAGTATTTCTAGGATTCCACAAAAGGCAGTTAGTAAGATAAGCCTACTATCTGTTTATTAGTTAAGGGCTGACAAACTGGAAGGCTCAGGAAAGAAAAAAAAAACAAGCAAAATAAAACCCACACACATTGTACAAGTCACTCTAGTAGCCAGCTTTTTATTGAACTTCTCTCAGATTATTAAAGACCAATTCACTTCAAGTTTCCTGATACAGGCATCTTTTGTTAGCATGAAGGAAACAGGTGCAGATGCAGTAGACAGAAGCACAAACAGAAACACAGGGCACAAATCTGGCTTAAGAAATGGGATGCGGGGCAAAACCAGAAGAGACAGTTGTCCTAGCTGTCTGCAGTTCAAGAAAAGCAGGCAGAATGATCACTTGAGTTGTTGCCTGTGCATGGCAACTATATTAATTTAGTCAACAATAGCCCAAAAATATTTCCCACTGAAGTAAAAGTTCTCATCAGTTTAAAGTTGAACTTGACCAGTTTAGGAAAAGTATTCTCATTGTTGCTGAACACAGTCCCCTTTGTGTTTCAGGCAACAGGCCAGCATGTCCTTTTAGCCCTACATCTAGCCACACCTTTCCCTGTAACCTACAGTGTCCCTGAACAGCTTAAGGAAGAATGCAAGAGCATACATATTATTGCTACCAAAGCAAAAACAACCCAAGAGGTTTTTCTGATACAGAAAGAGAATGAGCTGCTCAAGTGAATTCCTTTGGGAATTACTTTAGCAAGCAGAGACTCCCACCATCAACTGAGCCAGCTTTGTTCACTTTCTGCTGACCTATTAGTGTAACTGCCCCATTTCTAAAATCAGCTGGACGTGCCAGCTCTTCCATAAATGCTACATACTAATACCAAAATCATTATCTTCACTGCAGTTTAAGGGTTTAGTTGTCTCAGTACAAATGGTAGTGAAAGAATTGACTCAAACTCCGAAGAATCATGCTCTGCCTATGACAGAGATGTCAACAAGCTGTATTTGAAACTCCTTCCCCTTCTTTTAAGTGCAGAGGTAGAAAGGACTAACAGGTTTCTTCTCAGCAGAGGGTGTACTTAACATTAATGAAGTTCCTCAAACATACTCCAAGAAGGGTAGTGGAAGATAAATTCAACAGGATTCCACATGTTTTGTTCCAGCTTTATGGATAGAAACTTGAAAAATTCAGATTTGCAAGTGAATAACCTGCCAACAGGAGATAGAGGCTTCCACACAGCAGATTGGGGTTGTTTTACAAAGGCAACCAGGAACAATTTTGAGCAAGTCCTAGAATTCAGAGCAGAAACTATACAGCTTTACTACTTACTACTTCAGCTGCAGGTAAACATTGCTGAAATAAGCCTCTAACAAGCCTAAGCTCTAAGCTTGATGAAAAGACTTTTACTCTGTATATCGAGGGGGGAGAGCACTATCCTTCCCATTACTGGTCACCAGCATCCTGCAGGCTCCAGCTTCTCTGATTCAAAAGACAGATGTTTTGTGTTAACACAGACAGCACTCAACAATTAAGACAAAGCCTTTCCTTTCCCAAGGGGACACTGATGACCAGAGAGCTGCAAGAGTCTTCAGAGCTAGTTCAGTGTTTTGTTTGGAAGAGTTCTTTCCATATCCTCATATCACCACATCATGTGCACACATCCAGCATTGTCACAGCAATAACCAAAATTTGTTACACCAGTTACTGGTGCACAAGTATCAGGCTATGCACGATGAATACAATCCAGTGAAGTCAAGCATTTACCTGTGCAGCAGAAGAGATCAGCTCCTCCTTACTGCTTGTTGATTCGAGCTGTGCCTAATTCCTTTGGACTTCTCTGGCTACTGACACTTTTAATGGTGTTAAATTGCAAGACCTTCACCCCACCACCCCCCAACACACTCCACCCCACAATTGGTTGATTCCTATTGCTCACACCACCTCAAACTGACACAGTGCCCTAGACAGCACCTTGTATGAAGCAATCTGACAAGGATGCAAGCACGATGAAGCAGGTGAAGAACTGCCCTTCCCCAAAACACTGCTTGGGTCCCCTGCAAGACAAAGGGTTAATTCAAAGCAAGCCATGCATGCCCTAAAGAGAAAAGCATTTTAATCTGTACTAGGTTTATAAATAGCATCCAATAGCCAGACACCAAGCGTTAACCCCCATTCCAATCATGAGATCAGCCTGTTCCCTCCCCACTGCGGGTGCGTGGAGGGGAGGCAGAGAGGAGGCTGCATCTATTCAACTAGGTCAGCCTTATTCTGAAGGGATTAGGCATGTAATCCAGCCCCTCCCGGGACGGGCATGGGGAGGAGGGGCAGAACCAACACTAACCATAGAGAGGGAGCTCGCAGCAGGATGTTTGCTTATGCCTCCCTTGCAGGATGGCCCCATAAGGAGCTCCAACCAGAAAGCCCCTGGCTCTGGTAGCCAGTACAGGTAAATATGGAAGAGCTGAGGACCATCCACCTGCAGCCAACCCAGGCCAGTGCTGGAAGCATCTACTCTGCCACACACAGCCCACCAAGACAGTTAATTGGATGCAGACTTGGATACAATTGTATTTCTGAAACTTCAAGCCAGTTTTGCTCAGTACTCACTTCAGAGGATTTCAACCACAGGAGACGGGAAATAAATTCCCCTCACACACACCCACCAGTTTACATTCAGGTGAATAATCTTCTCCATAGGTGAAGGAGACAAAACAGCACAGGTGATACTAGCTCACTGTTGGCCTTCACTGTTTGGGTTTCTGCAGGCAGCCTTCCCAAGCAGAGCAACACTGGCCCATGTTATCTTTGTCATCAGCACAACCATTTTCCAGGATATCTTCTCACAGGTCTCAAGGAGACCTCGTTTGTCTTCAAGGTAGCTTTACAGTGCTGCCTATCCACAACATGTTTCTGTTACTAGAACTCTTCCCACCCTCCTCTGGGCACACTCCCATCAGGCTGCAGATGAGCATCTGTATGTATCAGCATGCATAGAGCCCGTGGTCATTCAGGAAGGAGAGTGACCATTAGAAATCAGTACATGCATTGAGAGCTCTTCATCCCAAGTCCACCAACCGAACCGGGAACGTGTACTGCACACACTTCCAAACATCATCATCACTTATTACAGGCACTAGACTTATTCCCTCACAGCTTCACCTATTTTCAAATAGTAGGTCTACACCCCTTGATCCAGAGAAACAGTTACCACAGGCTATTTAGTCACGAAGCCACAACTAACTCTCAATGTTAACCAGCATGTTTACCAACTACATATGCACATATCCTCATCCTCTACGACCAACAGAGTGCAAGTTTCCTAGTTACATTTGATGGAAACACAGCCACTTATGCCACAAAAAAAAACTCATGCTTTTAAGGATCACGTGGGCCTGCAAGCATTTCATATGTGACAAGCTCCAGGGGCAACATTTCATTTTCTGGTGAAGTAAGTCTCAGATGATGCAAAACCAGATCTAAGCCAACTAATCAGTTTACATCAGCATGGAGACAGCATCCCTCTGTCTTCTCATTAGTCGCCCGCAACCTGAGAGTTAAAATATAAACTTAGAACAGCCTACTGACGGCTCAGGGAAAGTTAACCAATGACAAACCGCTGGGCAACCTCTCTCTGCCTGGGCACACTTGGCACACAGCCTTCCTCCTCTTCTTCCTAAGAGCAGCTGCCTCACACAGCAACAGCTGATGGCAACCCAGGCTGGTCAGGAGCCAGACTAGATCACTTTCTCTCCAATACCAGGGAGGGCAAACAAAACAGACCTGCAAACCAAGAGGGTAGGAAGAAGCAGAAGGCACAAGGAGCATGAGGAAATAGGAAGGACAGACAACAAGTAGCCAGGTATTTACAAGACAGACAAGTCAACTCCAAGGGAGGGACAACCAAACAAAACAAACACACCAAAAACACACCAAAACCCTTCAGTGTTCAAATCAGAGCACACAAAAGCAAGCATGAAGGGTTACAATATCTACTCCTTCAGTTACAACTCCAGAGAGAAGGAACACACATCCTAATATTCCTCCCTGAAAATTTCAAGGTCCATTCAAGGTTATTTGCAGTAAATATTCTAAGGAGAAGCCAGAGCAAGGTCAGATGGCTGTTTCAGGTTTCTAATGCAACTTCCTATCAGTGCACACCTCTACTGCTGTCTTACCTGATGAACAAACACGTCTTCTTTGGTATCATTTCTGTGAAAAGAAAGTGAGAAGACCTAAGAGTTTAGACTAAGAGACTTAAATAGAAATCCCCAACTTCACAAGTGAAACCACCCTTCCCCAGCCTGTAGTACATCCCCTGGACTCCATACATTCTGTGTAAGTCTATGTTACCAAGACCCTGCTCTAAATTTCCAGGGTTATATGCTTGACAGCAGAAAGGACCCCCCTGCTTCAGAAGAGCAAGGGGATGAAGGGGAGGTTCTCTAATCTGGCAAACATTCAATATTTTGTTTTGACACAGGGCAGATTTAATGACTGGACTGCTTGACTTTCACTGTTTCACCCTCCTCAAAAAAAAACTTCCACAGGGCTGCAACCTGAGCTGTTACCCCAGAGGTCAAGCAAGACTATCAACAGGCCTGGCCACAGCTGTTAACAGAGCTCTCCTTTCAGTGAAACTCAAAGCAACCACACACACAAGGCATTAGGAGAGTCCACTGGAAGGGGATCCAGACATGAACACGAGGTTGTCTGGATTAGGCCAGCAAGTTCAGGCTTCCGCATGCAAAACACGAAGACAGGAACGAGACCTTGATTCTGTGTTCCCATACAACAAAAAGAGCTTAGATCCTGCAGTCTGCTCATTCAATTCCTTCTCTGCAGAGGGAACAGGTGGGTCAGAGTTTGTGAAGATAATGCATAATCCAAAACTTGTTGCACTGGACTAAAGTAATAGTGGACTTTAGTTTAGGAAGAAAGCTACCAAGTCCTTACACCATATCCAGCTGAAGGCTCTCACACCAACTGCTATGAAAACCTTCAAGAGTCTTTCATATTCAAGCCTTTCTTCTAAACTTTCACAACGCTGGATAGTAGTCTCCAGAGACTGGAACTGATACCGTACCAGAACTGGATTCAGCTCCATGAAATGGGGGCTCTTCTGCCCCTTTACTACACTGTCCAACTTACCCAAATCTACCTGCTGTGTAACAGATCAAGGACTTGAGAACAAAGTAACTTGCCAAGTATGTGTTTTGCAAGGCAAGCATCCACTATGCAGGAGCTTTGTTTTTCATAAAGCATACAAGACATTTAAGCCCCTCAACCCCACAGGTATTCCAGCCTTAAAAGCCAGAATTTCCTCCAGTAACTTGGAAGCACTGGCCTTGTGCACCTAAGGCTGGAGTGTGATCAGTATCACTTACAGCTATTTGGGTTATTGATGCCTTCCAGAGGTTGGTTTGTGTTCAGAGGAGAAGAAAAAGAAAAAAAAAGACAGACAATTTCTGTGAACCCGGGCCTGGAATAGTTTCAGCTAGATGATATCAGAGAATCCCAGTGTGTATTTAAAGTAGGTATTTTGACCTATCAGTTTTAATTTTTACTCAAAAGTATTTCCCCTCACCCTCCAACCTTACTCAAACCTTTAAAAAAAGCCAAGCAGTCATGAAAGAATATACAGCTCGTTAAAGGTATAGTACAAGTAAACAAGAAACACGTAACAGACCAAATTTGTAATGAGTTTGACCCCTTCTGTTTTCTCCCCATACATACAACCTTTGATGGGGGTGAGAAGAGTCCCCTGAGATTATATCAGAGTTTGTTGAATGCCTGGCCAAACCTGGCTATCAACTGCATGAACTTGCAGTCAGGTCCTCAGGTCTCTGTTGCAATTACTAACACATGGCACATTTTCTGTACCATGAGTCTTGGTACAGTAGAAATTACTATCATAATTTAAACATACCTGTTGATAAAGCCATATCCATTTCTGACATTGAACCACTTGACTGTGCCAAGAACTTTGGTGGCTGGAAAGAAAAAGTTAAAGTAGTTACTCTAAAACATAAAGAAGTTCAAGAATGTTACAAAAATACTTTCATACCTGTACATATAGTCACAACTGACCTATTCTGTTCCCTTAACACTCAAAGGGTACCTTCATCATCTCCTACTTCAGTTTATACTGATGCAGTAGCAGGAAGCAGTGCTGTTCTCCAGCACACAGCATCTAGAATGAAGTCCAGCTCTATTTTCAGAACTAGCCATCTATCTCTTCTTTTTGTTATCCTAGAAAATGGGCAGTGAAGCTGAAAATCCCACTGCCATTCACCAGTTCTCTCTAGCTCAGTAGCTAGACATGAAACATAGCTGAAGAAAGCTGTTTAGAAGTCCCCTCGTCCTCTCTTTCAGAGTTACCCTTTCTTTCTTCCTTGGAAGCCAGAACTGGCCAAAGCAGCAGCATTAAGCACCATGCAACTCTCTCTAGTGGAGAGGCAGCACGCCCTTATTTTGGACAAGCTTGCATTGTCAACATGACTAACCAAACTAGAAACCACAAGACTGTTTTGGTTGTTGTGTTTGGGGGGTTGGTTTTTTTTGTTTGTTTTGGTTGGGGTTTTTTTGCCCCCCCTTTTTTTAAATAATCCTACTTCTACAGATCTTCTGTGATTTACCAGTTACAAACTGACCAACTTTATACTCCAAGACTTCTAGGATCAAGGCAAGCTCCTGTCTTAACACCAAAACAGCATCCATCTTAGAAGCCATACTGCAGTATCTTATAGGATCTGGTGAAACCTGTTCCTCCAACGTATAGGAACATGTGGGAGGAACTCAACAGCAATGGAGGTAGTTCAACCTCTCCTTCCCTCTCAGCAACTGGGTGGAGACCACAAACTTGTACTTTTCAAACCTGTAGGAAAGGGAGAAATTTGGGCTCTAGACTTTAATAGATGTTACTTATTACATAGCATGACTGCAACTATCTAAGCAATCTACACAGTACTTATGTGAAAAGGGTCCAGTTGCCTACAGATGACCGCTTGTTAAACACCTTACATATGACTGGCAGTTGGAGGAACTGAAGAAGCAATTAAAAGGAAAGTAGTCTAGAGACAATCTCCAGTTCAGAAGTCCAAGCCAGCCTGCTAGAGGCAAGAACACACTGAATTGTTACCTTCATGTGTTCTACACCTCCCTTCTTCCCTAAACATCCACTAGGAGACCAATCGAGCATCTTTTGGTCTCATGCAGTCTTGCCGTTCCTGTATACTTCTCTGACAGAGAAAGAACAACCTCTTCCTCCTCCCCCGAATACAGAGCTGAAGTGAGGACTGTTTGCCGACAGCAGTTCATTGTAGCACTGTTGATGTTATTGAAAGTAATAACAGGTTATTTCTCATTGCACTTTTAGATATAAAGGTTTTAGTATTTCTTAATACACTCTTTTAGCAGGAAGTGTTCATATTTAAAGAAGCAAAACTATGTTAAAGACTGAGACAGTTACTAGAGAAAAGGGCTCTACGTAGTACAGCATCCATTCCCAAGCCCTTTTGTTTACAGACATTAAAAATCCCTAAGTGTCACTGTCTAGCACCGACTCAGTAACAATAACAGTCTTCAGCATCAACATTTATGGTTGTGTTTTTAAGTTTAGTTTCATGGAGACATGACTAGGCACAGACACTTATTGCTACCACAACGGCACTGGCTACATGCAAGAGCTCACTGCACTAGGAACCTTACAGGGGAAGAAAGCGGGGGGTGTGGGGTGGGGGAAGAACACAGAAACAGGTGCCAATGGCACATGCAGGTTTTAGTCTGCTTTAAATAACAAGGTTAATACCACTGATTCCCCCACCATCATCCTTTCCCTCCCCCACAAAACAGCTATTGAATCTGTTGGCCTATTTCAATCAGATTAGGAAGAGGGCGAGAAGCCTAGGAAGCCTGGCAAAGACCCTCAGAGGAGTCAGAAAGCTGGTGGAAGGAGAGGTAGTCAATACTCATTCTACATGGCCAGCTGGCTGCTGTAAGTGGACATCCACAGTCACAGTTTCAAAGCAACATTGCTCTTTTTGCACAAGCTGCCAGAGACCGGGGTGAGTCTCCCACATATTCCCTAAGACAGCGTACTGAGGAAATACCATTCTCTACCCACACTAGTCTTACAGTCTCCCCTAAGCATTACTGGGGGGGGGGGGGAGACCCTCAGCCACAACATGACACTGAACATCCACGTGGCCATGGTGTAATCATTGTTAAGCCTGAGCTGTCATAGCCAGGAGAACAGGCAGGGAGGAGGAGAAGCAAAGAGGAAACTGTAAGCAGTTTTACTGACAAGTCAGAGAAGGTAGTGGATGTGATGACACCTATCCCACCAGCAAGTGAAAGCCCACATATTTCTACAGGATGCTGTACTCTGATGCTATCAGAGGAAACAATCATCAGCTACTCCTACCCATAACAAAACAGCCTTTTCATTAGTTTTCCATGAGGAAAGCCAAAGCTTCCTGCAACCAAGAGAGAAGAGAAAGTTGACTAACCTTTATTCTTACACTTAGAAGTCAGACATTTGGATGCCCTGAGCAAGCATCAGACCTTGCTTCTAACAGGATCTTCGTAAGAGGAGACTTAAGTGAATATAATTAAAAGACCATTACAAGACCATTAAAGTGGACATTCGAGGTGACTTGAAAGTCCATTTTCAATTAGCATTATCAATGATCATCTTCCTTAGAACACCTGGCAAAAAGCTTGCCTAGCAATAAGGCCAGTGTGCAAAGCCATCACCACGGTGGTTTTCTTTTTCCTGCTAGATCAGGAAAGGCACTTGTGCCTTCACTCCCCCACCCCAAGCAACAGGTGAACAAGATAAAAACATTACCACGAATGAAACAAGCCACGTTAAGGTTAAGAAGCAGCCAGACACGGATGTGCCTTGACTGATTATTGACAAATCAGGTAACAGAACGGCAGTGGGGGGAATCACACAAGCCATGCCTCTAGTTTTGCTAGAGTCCTTCCTACTTCAGCTCCAGAGAAACCCTTTACCTCCTCCATCTGCTGCAGTAAGACCTCAGTCTTTCCGTTCAGAAGAGAAGATGCTGTCTTTCCTTAGTGAAGTCTGGGACTCCGCACTAGCGGTCAGCCTCAACTTTGCCTTTACTAACCTCTTAAAGTTAAGCAGTTACAAACGGTAGGTCCCTATTTCAACTGCACACTGAAGGCTTGTCCTTTTCAACAGGTTGATTCTGTCTAATCACAGCGGGAAAAAACCCACATCAGCTACACACTGGGCTTGAGCACAGAGATGGCAGCTTAACGTTTTGCTTGCCTCTTTACTGATAAAGTAGAACCTTAAAAAAAAAAAAAAGCAAGCAAAACCCAAAACAAACCCCCCTACACCTAGAGACATTATTAAAGCAGTACTCTTCACAAAGTTGTGCAAAGACCTTAAGATTAAAGGAGGAACACAGTGTTTACCAGCAACCCCTTTCCGAGGGGGGGATGCCCCGGCAGGTGCCGGGATGCCCGTCAACATGGCTGCACTTCGCACACCATCCCCGCCTG